CCGCCCGCCCGCCCGCTCACGTGATAACATAATACGTCCCCTTCTTCGACGGGCGTACAAAAAGGAATTATGCATGACTTTCACTTGACTGAAATTATTGCTTGAAGTCTATTCAAACATCATGTGCTGTGAAATTGTTTAAAATACTGCTGCAATACATAATTGGTAAGGTAGAGAATAACCACAAAGTATAATTACAAATAACAGTTCCACTTCAGAACCGTTCTTGTTAGTTGGAGTATTCTCCCTTGTGTATGTTAAAGATAAAACAACCTAAAGAAATTGATCCTGATTTTAGAGTTACTTCCCTTATAAAGTAAGGCTTGTCTCATTTTGATGCTGTGCATTAACAAGAGGCCCAAGGGCCTTAGCGGTCACCTGAGTTATATTATAGGTACTGGTAGATTTATTTTATTGTGTAGATGTGATGTGGAAATCAGCATGTAAACTAAGTGAAATACAATACTTGTCATGTCATCAAAGGATAAGAATTTGAAAATATTGGTAAATGTTCCCTTTGGGGCCCCACCCTAGCCCCTGGGGAGGGGGCAGGAATCCCAATTTTACAAAGTAATACTCTCATTCACCAAAGATGATTCTGACTAAGTTTGAGTAATTTTCTCCTGAAAATGGATAAAATATACCCAAAAGTGTTATTTCCCTATATAAGCTATAGTAGTCTGGAGGAGAAAATTTTGGAAATATTGGTTAATTTTCCTTTTGGGGCCCCGCCCTGGCCCCTAGGGTTAGGGTAGGATCAATTTTACAATTTGAAACCATCTTCTTCCAAGGATAATTCTCACTAAGTAAAAACAATTTCCGACAGAAAGTTGTCAAAATATACCCAAAAGTGTTATTTCCCTATATAAACTATAGTAAACTTTACCCCCTCCTCAAGGGAGAACGAATAGCTCGAGGGACTGAAATTTACAATTTAAGTAAAGCCTCTGATGATCTTTCTTTCCACGCAGAGAATAGGACTGTAGTACCTCTGAGTCTAGATCTGGAGAAGAAGATTTTTGAAATATTGGTTAATTTTCCCTTTGGGGCCCCACCCTGGCCCCAGGGGTTGGGGTAGGAATCTCAATTTTACAATTTGAAACCATCTTTCTCCAAGGATAATTCTCACCAAGTAAAAACAATTTCCTACAGAAAGTTGTCAAAATATACCCAAAAGTGTTATTTCCCTATATAAACTATAGTATACTTTATCCCCTCCCCAAGGGAGAATGAATACCTCGGGGGTCCTGAAATTTACAATTTAAGTAAAGCCCCGATGATCTTTCTTTCCATGCAGAGAAAATGACTGTAGTACCTCTGAGTCTAGATCTGGAGAAGAAGATTTTTGAAATATTGGTTAATTTTCCCTTTGGGGCCCCGCCCTGGCCCCAGGGGTTGGGGTAGGAATCTCAATTTTACAATTTGAAACCATCCTACTCCAAGGATAATTCTCACCAAGTAAAAAATAATTTCCTACAGAAAGTTGTCAAAATATACCCAAAAGTGTTATTTCCCTATATAAACTATAGTAAACTTTACCCCCTCCTCAAGGGAGAACGAATAGCTTGGGGGTCCTGAAATTTACAATTTAAGTAAAGCCCCTGATGATCTTTCTTTCCATGCAGAGAAAAGGACTGTAGTACCTCTGAGTCTGGAGAAGAAGATTTTTGAAATATTGGTTAATTTTCCCTTTGGGGCCCCACCCTGGCCCAAGGGGTTGGGGTAGGATGATTCTGACCAAGTTTGAAAAAAATCCGTCCACTGGTTCTTGAGAAGAAGTTGAAAATGTAAAAAGTTTACGCACCACGGACGACGACGGACGGAAAGCGATTAGAATAGGTCACTTGAGAAAAGCTCAGGTGACCTAAAAATATTGATAGCACCACAGTTCAGTTGAAATCTGTATTTGGGGTTTTTCAAATACATTTACTGTAATTTCAAACAATTACGATTCTGTATGTGGAAAACTTCTGTAAAAAAAATACTTAACTAAACATTTTAGAAAAGTAGCAGCAGTAATGTTTTCTTTGAAATTTTATTTAAACTTGATGGTATTATCCTAAATATGTTCTCACCGGCTACTTTTACACCGATCTGGTACATAATGAACTTTGCTTACCTGCGATACTGAACAGCCTGGTAAGTGAATGCAGATGCCCAACACTTTCTCACAGAGTCCAGGATCTGTATGAACAAATCACCAACAAACAGGGCTTCAGTCTTAACAAAATATATACCTCTCACTGAAAAATCCAGACTTAAGGAAGCTACTTTACTGAGAAAAAATATATCTCCGTTCTAAAAGAGTTCCATATAAACATGTGAAATATCTGTCATGAAAAACAACTGGATATCAAGCCAATTGTGAAATATCTGACATGAATAACAAATTGGATATCAAGCTAATTGTGAAATATCTGACATGATGATATCAAGCTAATTGTGAAATATCTGACATGAATAACAAATTGGATATCAAGCTAATTTTGAAATATCTGACATGATGATATCAGCTAATTGTGAAATAACTGACAGGAATAACAAATTGGATATAAAGCTAATTGTGAAATTTCTGACATGAATAACGAATTGGATATCAAGCTAATGGTGAAATATCTGACAGGAATAACAAATTGGATATAAAGCTAATTGTGAAATTTCTGACATGAATAACAATTGGATATCAAGCTAATGGTGAAATATCTGACATGGACAACAAATTTGATATCAAGCTAATTATGAAAGGTCTGTCATAAATGATGAGTTGGATATCAAGCTAATTGTGAAATATCTGACATGAATAACAACTGGATATCAAGCTAATTATGAAAGGTCTGTCATAAATGATGAATTGGATATCAAGCTAATTATAAAACCATTAAGGAAGATAACTAATATCACTGTCATAACAAATTTGTCCTTCCCTACCTTCCAAACTTTTTGCTTTTCATGCAAAATTTATTATTATATTTGGTATGCTTTATATTAAATTATTTGCTGTTGTGATAAATTCAGCATCAGTTTGTGGTGAAAATGTTCCTGTTTTGATATGCAACATCTACCCCAACATAAAATACAACAACCATACAACAAAGAGATCAATGTGTTACCATAAATAGCAATGGGAACTTTGACCTTGACCCATCTCTGTGACATACTTCCTTAATGTGCATCTTATTAACATAATTAATAAAAATCATCTGAAGTCAACAACTAAAATTAAATTTTAATCTCAGACTTGAGGCCTTGTCTGCAAGAATTAATTATAAACAAATAAAAAGCCTGCTTAATCCCAATAAAAGGATAATAAATAGCCTGCTTAATCCTAATACTAGAATAAAAAAATAGCCTGCTTAATCCCAATAATAGGATAATAAGAGTTTCCTAATGTGATCTGAACACCAGCAAACACAGCAACAGTAAACACATTATCAACCTGAACAATGAGAATAGCATTCCAAGAAATATCAAAGTCTTTGAAGCTGAGGTGATTGACAATAAATATGTGGTAGTCTTGGAATTCAACTCCATGATATTTATCATAGACGTCAATCAATTTAGCCTCCTGTAACCCTGTGGGAAACAAATTGCCCGCATTATCTCACTATTTCTTGATTTGTCTAACTTCACAATATGTACCAAGTACAAATTCAGGAAAGATTGACCCAATTGAATTAAAATCCTTATTAAGTATTTACCTCGGGATGACCTCTGACCCCTATATATGTTTCCATTTGTCCAGCTGAGGAAGCTTCACTTCCATCTTCTCCTGTAAAATGTGACGAATATGTGTTAATAACAGGCAAGAATTGACCTACCTTGTACTAACAATATTGTTTAATGTGCAATAAAACCAGTAAAGCAATTCTTCTTTGTTCAAAACCTTTGGGAGACATATTAAATGAAGCAGTTCATGAGTTTTGAAAATTTTCCCCAATATCTCAGCACATAAACTTGAGCAAAGCAAGATGTAATTGAAATGTTCTATTATGCAATCATTTACTGTATAGTTGTTGAATTACGCGTGGTTAAAATTTCCCAATTTTGTGTCCAGACCTTTTTCGTAGGGGTTTATATCACTGATGACAATTTCTGTAAGTCTATTTCAGAACACCTCGCAAAAAGTTTCGAGTGTTTGTTACTACTAGCAACGAAGAACCAGACATCATTACTGGACACAGGTATATACCTGTTCCTAGAGTGTACAGGTAAATGAGTTGTTTTTAATAAATTCTTTTGTAGGTCGTTGCTACATTTTTTTGTACAGGCCTAGTGTTCCCTCTAAACGATGTTTTGACCTCAGCTTAATTGATATCACGAGTGTAGCTTGGATGTTATGGCAACTACCTCAAAATATTCACGAGGGTTTTAATTTTGCAAATTTTAACGCATTCGCAAAATTCGTGAAATTAAATCCTTCATGAATATTAGCAACTATACTGTATCTTAAACCATTTCAATAACAAATAAGTAGATAAGAGGCGTTCCATAGGTTTGAATATAACAAATATAAATAAAGAATCAAATAAAATTCAATATAAACATGAGAGCATTGTCAATGGTTCTCTGGAACTTTTTTCCTGCTGTTTTTTGAAGTACAATGTAATATCCACTCTCTGGATGGTAAGGGTTTCTTTTTGAAAAAATAGTTCCGTTATTTTTTTTCACACTTAGGTAAAACAAAAAATGTAACTTTGTCATAAAATTGAAAAATTTCACTGATAAAAATGTACACATATTCAATGAGTGACGATTGATTATGATTCTTAACAAGATAAATGAGTTGATTCACAAGTATAAATGAGTTGATTCACAAGGAGTTGATTCACAAATATAAATGAGTTGATTCACAAGGAGTTGATTCACAAGTATAAATGAGTTGATTCACAAGTATAAATTGGGAGCTTTAGCAAGTAGATTAGACCTTATCATGTGAATGATTTTAAACAATAATACATATCATTAGGTGGATATTCTATTTCTCCGATGACATAAAATATAAACGAAGATACTGCTATGTTGTATGATGTTATTTCACATTTTTGTTATTTTAAAAAAAATAGTTAAATAATGTCTACAGTTGCTGAAAACTACAGCAGACATGGTATAAAAACAAATATCTAACAGTATGGTTACATTTCTGTCAATTTAGGTTAGGACAGCTTAATTACCTGTTGCAGAAGACCTGACAGCAAAGAGCTTTGTGAAACAGTCCTGACCAAACAGGTACTTCATCTTAACCATGATGACCTCCTCGATCTCCTTGGCGATGGGTATGGAGGCGAAGAGTTCCACTGTGTCAGAACAGGCCAGCTTTAGCTGGTCATCATCTGCATCCCTAAAAGTCAGCATTTATTTTATCAATTTTCTATTTGCACCTGTACATGTAAAAACTTCAATTCTTGGAAGCATTTTTTTCTCTTTATTCACAACTAAAACCTGAATATTTTGCTTTGTATTTCAGGTTTTGCAAAAAGGATATGGGACCAACCACTTTGCCAAGTCTCTTTAAAAGGAGAGATTTTAACCCTCATTTAGGACTTCTGCATTCAGCAAAATCTGTTCAATTTATTTTTGCTTTAATTCAATAAATTAATTTCATAGAATAGCTTAAACTTGGTATTTTATGTTATTGTTTTATCAAATAGGGGTCGTTGAAAACACTTGACTTGTTTTTAGTGTTTTGGCTTACATTTTCTCCCCTTTGAAAAATTTGAAAAAGTTTTCTTTTATACCTGTCATATTTGAAAAGATATTTTGTTATAGAGAAATATTGTCTTTATTTCTGAATGCTCACACAATACCTTATAGCTTTGTCTTTATTGCTGAATGCTCACACAATACCTAATAGCTTTGTCTTTATTGCTGAATGCTCACACAATACCTTATAGCTTTGTCTTTATTGCTGAATGCTCACACAATACCTTATAGCTTTCACAATATGGTCAACAGCTTTCATGATATCTCCATTGTTCTGAAACAAACAAAATCATTGTTTAAAAAAAATCTCAAAAACATTTTTTTCTTGTCTTGATAGAATTATTTCCATACCTGAAACAGTTACATTGGAACTCAATTATTATGATATTTTATTTGCCAGAGAAAAATATCATAAGAACCAATCAAGCTATTTTGGGTCGTTTCAGGTTGTCAGAACCAGAAGTGAGATCGCTATCAATCTTCAATACGTACCAGGAGGAGAAACAGAGATACAATCCTAAAGATTATCAGGAAATATGCAAAAAGATGAAGTCATTAATGCAATAATGAAATTAAAATAACATGATGTTTGTTCCAAAGAAAATGAATTTTTCGTCGTAGTGATCAGTATGAGAATTCCACTTTTATCAGTTTCCTCAGTACAAGTTACACTACGATTAAATAACGGGAAAATATCTTAAGTGTTGTATCACATAAATTATCTTAATGCTCTAAATAATATAATACGGTCAACTGCATAGCGGCGGTAGTGATACTTGATGATCTTGATGATGCCCTGGTCGCATGGTCCAATCAAAGATTCCTATGAGGGTAAGTTTCTTTTTGTTTGTGCCTGACATATTGCAACAGACAAAGACAGTCAAACGGTCTTTCGACTTTTTGAGCGATCCATCAGCGATAGTACAATGGTGCCTCGTCAACGTTGTAAAGGTCATCTGGGTTGAACTATTCTAAGAGACCCGGAAATACTATTGCTATCCTGCTGCTGGGCCAAGCTGCATCACCTTTTTCCTTTACCATATGTCCACTTGAATACAATGATGTTGCTCCTTGCTTACACAGTTATCTCCCAAACCTGACACAGTTATCTCCCATACCTGACACAGTTATTTCCCATACCTGACACAGTTATCTCCCATACCTTACACAGATATCTCCCATACCTTACACAGTTATCTCCCATACCTGACACAGTTATCTCCCATACCTTACACAGTTATCTCCCATACCTGACACAGTTATCTCCCATACCTGGCACAGTTATCTCACATATCTGACACAGTTATCTCCCATACCTGACACAGTTATTTCCCATAGCTTACACAGTTATCTCCCATGCCTTACACAGTTATCTCCCATACCTTACACAGTTATCTCCCATACCTGACACAGTTATATCCCATACCTGATACAGTTATCTCTTATACCATACACAGTCATCTCCCATACCTTACACAGTTATTTCCCATACTTGACAAGGTTACCAAACAGACATTAACAATATATATAATGATGAGAGGCTCATTGATCTTAGCGGCAAGTGACTTAACAGAAACACATACAATTGAGCAGAATCTTCAAATAAGTAAAAGCTCAGTGGAGCAAGTGTCCCCCAGTCATAGTGGAGGATTTCATGATATTTATAGGTCTAAATCTACCAGCTATTATGTTTTTTGAAGGTTTTACACTAGGTACCCCATTATAAGACCTCTTTTGGTCAGAGCCTTCTGGAGTACAATTGTGATCTTCATCCCTTACAAATCATTTTATGAAATGTTGGTAAACATTCATGTAAGTTTCAATGAAAACCCCCATCCACCTGATAACAGTTCACAGATTGACCACCGATTCATAAAGGAGAATAATACATATTAATCGCCCATAACTGACAAAAGATTGAACTCTAGGGTGGTCAGGTGGTGCAGTGGATAGCACACTTGCCTTTCACCAAGGCGGCCGGGGTTCGATTCCCCGATCGGACGTGAAAAAGGTTGGGGTCACCTGCCTGAACACGTGGGGTTTCTCCGGGTACTCCGGTTTCCTCCCACACCAAGACCCCCGACGCGCAAACATCCGGGCCAACAAGAGTGATTAATATAAGTTTAAATAAAAGATTGAACAATCCACCTCAGTGTAACACGTACAAAATGAAATGATAATGGGCTTGTGTGAGATTAAATGGTCCACCTCAACGCGCTACAAATTGATTCCAAGTTCCTTCATATAAATCTTCAACTGTTTTCATACTTATCGCCAGGTCATGAATACGAATACAAAAACACAAGTATTTGACCTCTCGGTGTAACCTTGACCTTTGCCAAGAATCATTGAAATGAAGCAGGGCAGAATGTTCATTGTCCCTTACCTCGACCTGTGTGACGAAGGCAGCCAACGTTAGACTGAAGCCCCTAGGTACCATAGCATTCACCTGTATAAAATGTTACAATACCTATAGCATAGAACTGAGTTTAGTCAAAGATCTGGTGTTTGAACTTCAGGAACAATTTCCGAAAACTATTAAAGTTCCCATCACCAATAAAATCCATATTTGTTAAATATATTTGCTTAACTACATTTTCCCTCATTAGGGAGAGCAAATAGCATGAAAATTAAACTGTGATCAAGTTTTCCTGTTATAAGTACGAAACCATAAAAGTTGAAATTATGGGTTGTAGAAATTTTTGTATTGTGACTCTTAAAACTGATCATGTATGGACATTGTTCACATTGACAATAGTTTTGAAATCTAAGTTTTATTTTCTAAATCTATAAATATATATATCTGTATGTTGATATTCACATGCTAATTTTCTCAATGTTAAAAGCGCAAATATTGACATACTATAAAAAGTTCCATTTTTACGATAGTACAAAACAAATCTGATCAATATATTTCTCAACCTTTTAAGTAAATACTTATCATATGTCTGAATGTATCAGAAGTAGAGTAGCCTCGTAATTGTGAGATGGTGAAAACTAATATCGTTTAACCTTAGAACTTCAATAACAATTACCTCCCTTAATTTTGGGGTGAGGCCAGTATTTGACCCTGTATACTAGCTAACTCACTTTATTCTGTATGGAGGACAACTGACCCAGTTGTGCCCCCTTGCCCCCCACAAGTTTACTGCTTCTACAAGCATCCTCATCAAAGGTCAAGGTCAGAGCCTCAGTCTGGGCCTTGACCTCTTCTGCTGAAGGCTCCTGAAGCAAGGGAAGTGACTCTGGTTGGACATAGGATGGACCCTCAATATTTCTGTAAATGGATAATTAAAACACATAAGTCTTTCACATTTTCCCTTTGAATTCTTTGTAAATTTATTTTTGGAAAATATTTTTTTTAGTAAAAAAAAAGAAAGAAAAAAATCAGAACAGAGCTAGAGAATTATCTGCCGCTTCTCTTGGTGATATTAATATAATTATCCATTTTCATTGAATTCTTACCATAATTGGTTAATTGGCAAAAACATTTTTACAGTGAAATTTACAATTGTGTCTATGCGAATGATGTCAAACTATAATTACTATACATGGATAAAAGTGATATCTAAATAACAAAGCCACTGATAAATCAAATGGGAAAAGACGTAGTGTGAAACAATCGTGGCACATCACTGTCAAGTAACATACAGCTAGAAAACATTAATATCAAAGAACAACAAATTATCGAACAATATAAATGCAGTGTTTCATTAAAGATGTCTTTTTAAATGAACAAACGTGAATTCTCAATGGTATCTCCTACACAGCTCTTTATTTGATCTTTATACTCATACTGTAAAATCTCAATATAATGACTTTCCTTCAACTTGCTTCAAACTTTGAATTTACCACCAACTTATTTCAAAACCATTTTTTCTTTTATTCTTTCAGCCTTTGACATGTTTTTATGATGTTTTCTGAATAAGCTTATGTTGTCTTAAAAAAACGCTGTGAATTGGCTATAGCTTGCTTAAGAATTGTTTATTCTAAAACTCAGGTGAACTATATGTTTCATGTTATGTTTATGTTGCAAGTTGAATTCATTTCTGCATGTACAAATTGAATTTTATGAAGTTTGTTAAATTTTCCATTACCGATCCAAAATTCTAAACTGGTTTTGAAAATCTAAGGGAAGTGTATACAGGTTTTTTGGTTATTAGAAAAATTAAGCTGTAAGAAAAACAGCACTTGCTTGCTCATGCTGATAGTTAAGCAGAAGGAGAGAAATATCTGTAACGGTATGCATATATTTATGTTAAATTTTCATAACAAGAAAACATGCAAATCTTAAAATTACTGAGTCAGCAGGAATTAATCGTTAATATTTTCAATTTAAAAAAAAAAAATTTTTTTTTACCTATAATGAAACTCCACCAGTCCATATCCTTTTTTACCGTTGACTTTGTATTGGCAAAATTTTTCAAAAATTTTGCTTCCTCGATCCTGGCAGTGGAACCAAACTGGAGTGGTCTCCCCCTTAACTTCCACATGGAAGGTGTCGCCACCTGAGATATAACAGAGGCAAAAAACAGTTTTCAACCAAAAATGCATCTTCCTTCATTCCTTGTAGTTATCATTTAGCTTTTCAAAATGTGTTCCTTACAATACTTTCTAGAGAATAAAACAATTTTTGTCCGAATCTTATCGCTGTCAATCACTTTCACCTTCATTACACTATACAGTATATATCAATGGAGTTTTGATAATCAAGTCATTTTTGTTCCCAGTGACAGTACAGGGATGGATCCCTCGTAAATCCAACTTACCAGCGACAAAACTGAAAGAATATTCATTGGCAGGTTCCTGTGTTTCTGAAATTTCCCACAAATTGAGATCACAGCTGGAAACAGCATACATAGCACCACAGGGATAGTTCAGGTATCCCACCTGTAAACTGTAATAGAATTATTACAGTAGTGTAAGTGTCATTCCTGTTAAAGTCACATTGCACCTGTGTAGGTCAACCTTCAAATAACCTCCATGACCTGCGTAGATTGTACACTGTAGTATATGTTTGAAATCACTTGAATTTGCTCTGCTTATTCCAATACTGACTCTTTTTATTCATCTTTTTAAAGCTTTAGATATTAAAATACTCCTTAGAAAAGACATATTATGCATAACAGGAGAAGGAAAATGCACAGTCAGACTGGGATTCGAACCCAGGAACCTCCAAAATCTAGACTGATACTCTACCATTGAGCTACCTGGTCTCCGGAGAGCAAAAGCAAGTCCAGTGTACATTTGTATCAAAAGGAATGTCTTTAACTCATTCACCCCTGAAGACACATTTGAACTCTTCCAATTCAAAGGTTGGAATAGTTAACTATGAAATTTCAGGGGTGAATGAGTTAATAGTTTCAATGACACACTACTGATTTTGATGACTTGGATGAAGTTTACAAACTGGAATGGCCTGGAATTAGCAAGCTTGACCTGTATTTTGGCCATCTATGAACTTCTTTTCTCCCACAACAACTATAGGTGTCCTCACTTCCGACTCCTTGGATAAAGCTGCCAGGAGTTGGTAAACATTTTTGGTTACCCACTAGTGTGTAACACCCAGGATATTATTTCACTGGTCAATCTTCTTATTATGATGACAAGAAACAATGTTTTGTAACATCATTTTCCATTGTGACATGATAGTTCAGAGCAGCTGTTTCCCCGATCTGAAACAGGAATACTGTATTCCCAAACGAATTAAACATATTCTAAATATAATGCCTAAACGTTGTGGGAGAAAAAGGCCCCTTAACTCGTGATGGTTGATTATCATGTTTACTTAACTCGAGGTAGTTAAGTTTCAAGTGGTAAAAGACACTCTGTAAACCTCATGTCTTTATACAATTCGCAAATTAATAACTCTTGTTAGATTAACATATGATAACCAATCATCACTTTCATTGTTGAAAGGTTTGCAGGTATCTAGTTTTGGTCTGGTTACCTGTGAGTTTGTAAGCTGTATCAGAGATTGTGTAATGAAGGTCTAAATGAAACAAGAGGTAAATGGCTAACTAACACAACTTACTAAGAGGTTGTAGAGGGCAGACTGACCACACCAACTTGGGCAGTGACACCACTCTGTAACATAAACAGGGTTTTAATACTTTACTGCCCTGTTATGAAATTGCAACACATAACTATATGATCCTGATATTACCGTGTTTTTCCTGCAATAAGCCCAGGGGGCATTACTGCAAACCACCATCATTAAATGCACATTAAAAACTGCCCTGGGCAACTCATAAACTTTTAACTCAAAATAGGGGATGGGCTGATTGCAGGACTATGAAATAGCGTTTGTTTAAAGCATTTCACTGAACTGTGTTTGACAAGGGTGGGCTTATCACCAGGCATGGGCTTATTGCAGGATAAATACAGTAATTGTGTATCACTTGGTGAAATTCATATAAGGTGTAATAAAACATAACATAACTACCAAATCTTATGTGAGTTTCTATTTCAAATGAGATTGATGAAATAAGTCCAGGAGATTTTCAAGCTAAAAATTAAAGGGAAATGTCCAGATGAGTAACATCAATCTCACATGAAATAGAAGCCAATTCCAGATTTTTTTGTCACATAACCAAGAATATATACAAATATTTGAAAAAAATAAAATTAAAAAAAAATCCATAATCTTCAATTCTTTAACGCTGCCATCTTGATGTCATATACATGTATACTGTTTTCAATATGATGTTGCATGTCATGATGCCATGTCTATTGCTGTAATTCATTTCAATATTTTACTGTGAAAGATCATATAGATACCATCTTGTTACTAATAGCCTTGACCTATATTTCTTAGGGAAAAAAAATCATTTAAAAATCTAATGTCAAGAAAAAATAAAATAGATATTCAATTTGTTAGTATTTCTAGGTTAATTGGCCTACCTCAAGACAGATGAAGTGGATGGCATATCGGTGAAACATTCTCCAGTCTCGCACTCCTAGAAAACATAAAGAAATAGCTGTGATATTTTGGAAGGGCTCACGAGAAACGCCCTGACTAGGAGTCTTTTATACTTTCTTGATGCGTTAACTCATTCCCAACAGGGACAGATCATGTACCTGGTATCCTCTTCATTTTTTTTTCATAAATGTCCCAAAAAGTATGGTTTTCTTCTCAGAAATGATTTATTAAAGCTATTAGTATAAAGGAACAAGAGCACCGCCATGCGGTGGCATTATACGCCCGTCAATTTGTAATCTTTTCATTTTCAATGTAATAATTTTTGAAAATCAGGTTCATTGCACTTCTCCTCCCTTAAATGTAACCTCATACTAGTGTTGAAGGCTCTAAATTATTTTTGAAATATGGTCCGGAAAGGTTTTCTGCTAGCATTTAACAATTCTGAGAAAGTAGCTCACGGTGACCTAGTTATGGAACACAGCAGTTTTCCTCCCCTAGATGTTCCATCATACCAAAGTTGAAGTTTCTATATGAAATAGTTCGTGAAATATGGCCCAGACAAGGTTTTCTAGCAATTGATCTATTTAGTAACAGTGACCTTGACCTTGAGTCTACAATATATCGAAACAAATTTGTTCAGGCTATCATACTACTTAACCCCTGGATGAAGTTTCATAGAAATCCACGCGAAATTAAAGGCTGAAGAGAGATGACAAAAAAAAGTTAAAGGAAGGACGCCCAGACGCCTGGAAGGAAGGACAGACAAAGTAAGGTATACCATAATACGACCCATCTTCGACGGAGTTATAGAAATCAGTTTCCAATGCATAGCTACAGATTTTTAATGTGGCACAGGGATCCTTAAGCAAGCAGCATATTATTAAATAATTCTTATTCATTTGAGATGTAACACGTCATTTGATTGGTCAATCAAAGTAATTTGCAACAGCATATAACCACGATATACCATCCGCAAATTTCTCATTTGCACATGAAGCCCAGATGGCGATTGTTAATGACATCAATGACCCCAACTGACCCTAAAACGTCATGAAATTGATTATACATGACTTCACGGACATAGCGTGACCTCAAATGGTCAATGTAATTCCACCTCAGTTTGAATATTCCTAAAGTCATCGATCTACTGCAGAGTGACCAAGAATTTGAAGAAAACACTCGAAAATGTCTTAAAATTGACGTTTCTTTTGTTGTTTTTGGCTTATATGAATAAGAATGGGGGATGAAACTACTGTATTTTGAAATTTGCAGCGGTGTATCGTGATTATACTGTCGCAAATATCAAAATACAGTAGGGTTATACCCTACTACTCCACGACGCCAGTAAAACTCAATTTGCAACAGTATAAACATGATATACCGCCGCAAATCTCAAAGAACAGTAGGGTTATCCCCTACTACTCCACGACGCCAGTAAAACTCAATTTGCAACAGTATAATCATGATATACCATCGCAAATCTCAAAATACAGTAGGGTTATCCCCTAACTGAAATACTAGAGAAATCTGGAAATGTTTTTACCGTAAGAATGGTCGCGTACTGTGTTGAGAGTAAGCCGGACATCCTCGTAACCCTCCACCTGTAGTAAGCCGGACATCTCACCCCACTGTTCATAGTGGGTCTGATGTTTACTGAAAACAGACAATAATCAAATGACCAGCATAATACAGCTATATTAAAACTTTAAACTAAATTGAAGAAAATTTGTTGGGATTTTTTCTTTTTAAATAATGACCATCTTTGCCAGTTGTCGGCTTACTTGTAGTCCAATTCTTGTATAAATCCAAATGTGTCATCAGTTCTTGTGTACCTTTCAAATGTGTCATCTTTTCTTGTGTACTTAATTTCAAAAGTGTCATCACTTTTTGTGTACATTTTAAACGTGTCTTTAGCTAACTTACTATTTTAAGGATTTCAAAGAATGTGACAGTAACACTCTCTATAATTACCATTTATAAATGATAAGGTTCCTTCCTTCTTTACCTTTTTAATCTATTCCAGAATTCTTGGTCCCAGCTTTCCCTGGCGATGGCGTCTGCTATGGCTGATGGACTTATATCCGTGTCAAAACTGAATGGATCGGTATAACAACACCACCTGGTGGTACGATTGCATAGAAAGATAAGAACGTAACTGAAATATTTACACTAGATCTCTTAGAATTATCCCCCCATGACATACCCTGGTACTATACACAGGGTTGTATAACCATGACAACCAAGGAACAGAGGGCAGATATGCGGGCCAAAATATTCCTGAAAATACCTGGTAAAAAGCATACCATGCATATGTAGTAATAATGACACTTCTAAAGGCCAAAGTTAAACAAGATTTTAACAGAAAATTGAAAACATATTTTCATACTAACCTGAATGAAAATTTCACTTGCACAAGTTTTTCACCTTTGTTTTCTAAACTGTTACATAGCCCATGTCTGAAATGTGAAATTGATAAAGATTATAATAGAAGACTTACAGATTATTGTGTCTTACCAAGGTACTCGTTCATCAAAGCATGCACATGTCTATCTTTAGCCTGTTTTCAGTGTATCCATTTCCTAGGTGTAACGAAACATTCTCAAAGAAGGTGAATTTACTTCCCACTGCTACCTCACAACACTTACATTTACCGTAAAGGCCATCATGTTGGTAACAACTACCATTTTTAAGGACTTTGTATGTTAAACTCAAAAAAAACAAAAACATCTTCACACAATAACTTCAATTTTTACCATAAAGTGACGTCATACAACAAATTCTGTCGTTTTAAGAATCTTCTATGCTTACTCTAAAGCACCAACATACAAGACATTATAAATTTGAGCAACTTTTGTATTTATCTTAAATACCTAAACACCTATAATTACCTTAAAGTGCCGTCATACGATAATTTCCATGTTTTCATTGGTTCTACCATTTCGATCTTTAGGCCGCCTGTGGTGTAGTCCCGACCATTTGTGTTGACGACGTAAGTGTCTGGGTGAAGCGGATGCTCCAAGACTCCGATCCCAGGTATTTCTAAAAATACCCATATTTCCCCACGCCTTTCATGACGACGACAGTAGCGAACAACAACACGTACGCCATCTTTGTTAAAACCACCAAAATATACAGCATCTATACCCTGAAAATATATAATAATGTTGTTTTTGAGACGCTAGAATTAGGTATTTATTTACATATTTATAAGGGTGCATGGACAAGATGGAATGTTCCAGAGAGACGAATTACCTGGGCTGAGCTCTGGAGAATGGAGCCATATTGAATCTCATTCCTGATGAGATCTAATTTATTATATGACGTGTCGCCATCGCCAACTAATCTGCTGAAATGGGGCCTGACAGAAGATCCAGGATGCAATCTTTGTGGAGTTAGTGCTACAATGGCCACATCTTGTCTGGATGCAGAGAGGGTTTACAGCAATGGCAATATCGTTGGAGACACAACCAGGTTCTTCGAATCTTAGTAGATACACTTGAGAGGTAGAGGAGGAGAGTCAAGCAAACAACAGGTTCCAAGAAAACAGGGATCTAGTTTGTTAGAGCAGGAGAAAAGCCCAGACCATCATCACATCAAACTAGCAGACGGCTAGGTGGTTCATCATGGCAGAAGACAGTAGACCTTGGCAAGCAGTTAGTTTTCTCAAATGTAGTCCATACAACACTTCGACCAGATGTGGTACTACGGTCAGCCGAAGACAAGTAAATCATCCTGATAGAACTGACGGTGTCCTGGGAAGAGAGATGCGACAAGGCCCATGAGAGGAAGAGCAACAAGTATTGGGAGCTCAAGGAGACCGGCCAGTCACGAGGATGGAAGACCTGGCTATTTCCGGTAGAAGTGGGTTGCCATTGATTCCCAGCCCAGTCTGTGTGGAAGACGTTCCACGCCCTGGGGATATGTGGTAAAGACCGACAGAAGGCAGTCAGGATCTTGTGAATGCAAGCCGAGAGAGCATCATGCTGGATATGGTACCACTGTGGACCTGCCAACTGTAGGATGTCATAATTTTGAAGGGTCGAAACATTCAGCGAGGGTTGGTAATAATCTGAAGATGTCAAAGTGGCGACCTACACTCCCACACCAGACGCAGGGCCAGAAACCAGATGTAAAGTTCTGATATACAGCAACGGGGTCCACAAAGGGGCGACGACACCAGATGTCAGACGAGATTTCGTCTGACCAGAGATTTCGTCTGACCAGATGTCAGCAGACATAACATCTTCTGTAAGCATTTATTTATTATCATTATTATTTCACAGTTTCAATGACTAGGACCATCAATACTCTACCACAAGGATATTACAAGTTATGAGTTTAAAAGACCTTCCAGTAAAGCTATTTTAGTTATTACTTTGACACATGTGTGAATTAATTAGTGTTATTGGCTGGGAGAGTCAATAAAAAAAACATGTGAGTAGGACATTTAGAAAATGGACAAGCCCAGACGACTAATGTTCCTTCACTTAAGGGTTCCTGTCCTACCGCAGGCAAAACACTAGAGAGTTCCACTGTAATATCTTATTTTGACTGATCACCCTTTAATTGTGTTTTGGCTTTGGTTGCATTTGTGTAGCCAAGTTGAAGTGCGATGTTTCCCCTAGGGTCCGTACCAGTCACATTGGAGATTCCGGCGAGTATACCTACCCCAATTGGGGTGTATCAATATTCTAGTATAGATGCAAATATATACAGACAAGTTTATCTAGCTCTGAAACATTGCCTATGTCCGAGCAATCACTGCTTGTGATCATGTACGTCTTGTACTAATAAATATATACAGGGGATATACAAAGCAGTATCAATGTAACAGTAAATGCAAAATAACTACGTATAGAACAATAAAACACCTTTTACTAATCTAACTGAGCGCTCCTTCTACTGATCGCTCAGTACGTGCATATATACACACACGCGGCGGATCGCTCTCTGACCTCTCACGGCTCGACCACCCTACCTGTACTCTGGCGATAGCTCGGATAGCTCAGTACGGCAGATGTCTCGCTACAATGGTAGCTCAGGCAGCACTACATGTACAACTGATGTACAATCTATAGAACTAACCCTGAGTTATCTTGACCACTCAGGGTCCCTATAGCAATCTAACGAGCTCTCACAGTGCCCGTGATCTATCAATGTAGCAGACCCGAAGCTTGCCCTTGTAAGGTATGATACTTTCGATTGAGCCATCGTAATGGGTAACAGTCTTATTCAGACATACCCCATCATTGAAAGCTCCCTCTCTAGTATACTTACAACTAACAAATAATGGTCTGCTTTCATGTAGCTTCAGACCCATAGGCCCCGCCCCTACCTGTCAATCACCCAGAGATTGTCTGCATCACCTATGTGTTTTGACCAGGGCTAGGTCAAGGCCAACTCACTCAAGCGCGTAAACAACATCGAGAATGCACAGGGACACGGCGGTTCACAAATAAATACATCTAGCTCGATAGGTTTTCATCACACAAGAACAATATGTCCTTTTTTCAAGCGACCACTTATATAACATATCCAAAAACATACATGTGTTTCATAAAGAAATAATGCAAACTAGCCATAGTCAGCATTTTAGTTTCGGTCAGGCATGTCTGGACCCCTCAATCTACACATGCCGAATATTCCTGAGGTCAACCTCGTTTCAGATCTGCATGAGCCTGCCATTTCCTTTACAAGTTCAGAGGGTTGAACCGGTTGAACCAGATAAGCGAAGATCTTGGTCAGCTGACTACTGATGCAGGTATTCAGATAAGTTAGAGTGCCCATCAGAGTTAAAGAGGTCTAAACATTGAAATCTGGTTTGGCCCTGCTGCCATTTAATTCTCTTGCTATTTAACATAGAGCATTGTTGTTGATTATTTCTGTTTCCTCTGTGGAACATTTCCTTAGGTAAAGGTTGCTATTCAGAAATGATTTGTTAAAGCCATTGATATGACAGAAACAAAAATCCAATGCATAAAGTTACAGTTTTTGATAGTGGCACAGTGATCCTTAAGGAAATTTCTTGCTTTGAACAATCAAAAGCAAGAGGCCTAGAGACCCAGAGGCCTTAAAAGCTCACCTGCTATGGTTTTTTTTTTTATATGAAACAGACAAATGGATTTTAAGGACATATTTCATAAACTTGTGTGAATGCTTCACAGCTACTCAAGGAGGAGGAGGGGTCACACCCTTCATTTACACAAAATTGATTCTCCGTAGCCTAGCATTGCTCCACACCAAATTTGGTCAAAATTCATTCAGCCATTCTGGACAAGTAGGGTTTTTAGTGAAAAGTTGACAGACATGTCAGACAACAGACCACAGACACTGCACCACGGCATAAGATGACTTGCTCGTTGGAGAGGTGAGCTTAAAGTGATTTCCTCAAAAATGAAGTGATACAAAATACACACATCAAGAAAAAATCTGTAATCTTAGGTTTTTAAAATATATTTTTTTAGAATAATGGCAACTTCAGGAATGTATGTATATATATTTATATTGTATATCCCAATACATGTTAAGAGTAGAGTCTGCAAGGTACCCAAAGTGCAATTTTGTACTCACAAATGGATCCGGATCTAATGGAGCAACTGTTTCCATAGAGGTTGGATCCAGCATTCCGGCTCCGTAGCCTCGGTTCTTATCCAACATATCCTGAGATTTTCTGAGACGCTTCGCTGCATTCTTGTGATTACGTTGCCGCAGTTTGAAAATCACCAAAAAGACCAACTTCTTGAGCCAGAACCATTTTCCTGTGTCAGAAAGCATCAAACTCTCTTTAACTAAGCAGCTCAATGTTTTGCGATATTCATCATGAGTCATGCATCATGATAGATATTTTCACTTACACTACAGTACTAACCTGGCTTCTATACAACCCTGTGACATCACCAGTACCTGGGTATTTGGCTGAATATCTGATGACATCACCAGTACCTGGGTATTTGGCTGAATATCTGATGACATCACTAATACATGGGTACTTGCATGGCTGTCTGTGCATATGATGACATCACCAGAACCTGGGTATTTGGCTGCATATCTGATGACATCACCAGTACCTGGGTATTTGGCTGCATGTATACCCAACATATCTGTTGACATCATCAATATCTGGGTACTTACCTGGCTGTCTGTACACCCCACATACAGGGGCACTTTGAGGTCGAAACAACTGCCAGGTGATGAGAAATCCCAACACCCCAAACACTGCAGACCAGAACTCAATCATTGTCCCTGACTGCCTCCCTCTGGTAATCTGAAATTACACAGCAGGTTTTTGTTATGAACCATACAAAATGTAAACTAAGTACCGTAAATAACATAAAACTATAAGCTAAATTTATGCAACATTTTGAATTGGAAGAAGCAGATAATTGTGAAGGCACCAGAGGGATGTCTGTCTTTCCTTGGTCACTTTTCCCAGCTGGAAATTTATAAAAGCTTATATGCAAGTTATTGTAATGTTTTATTTACCTTATTCATACATATTTTTAACAATTCTTTAAAATTTAGATACATTTAAAGAAATAATTAACAGAATAAATAAGGTTGGAAAAGGTCATTAACAAAGGCTGCTTGCGGACTGAAAGATTATTGACTCGCTTGTTTGCCAGTACATATACTTGGGAGGTTTTTGGAGGAGTGTTGGTCTGTTGGAAAATAATATTTATCTGCCCGACCACGTGATATTTTTCCGGATACTACGGTTCCCTCCCCCAGTAAGATCCCCAATGTCCTAACATCCAGGCTGACTTAGAGTAAGTAATATAAGCTGTAACAAGTTGTTTCATAATTGTTGTAAAATTAATAAAGATTGTTTTAGAAACCAGTTTAGAAAGATGTCAGAGTATACACATAGTTTTCATAAGAAATAGGATTACAGCATTATGTCAGCTTATAGAAGGTGTCAAAATATACAGGGGTCTGATTAGTCAGGTTTGGCAGTAAATATAATAACCTTGAGAGTGTAATAAAACTAAATAGACCAGCACCTGTTTCACAGACAAAACATTTCAAAGTCTGACACATATATAGCATACTACAGTACATGTACTTTAACTATGAATTTGACATATTTTTTTTTCAATTTTCAAAACATCACATGATACATGTCAGCACGCAAGTTTCAAGGTGCCGGTGTATGGGAAAACCATATTTTTCCTAAAGGTAGGGGATCGAGAAAAGCATATCGCTCATTTCCGTGTGTGTAAGCTAGAGCTGTCCCTGAGGGTAAGAAAGGGGTGCAAAAACCATCTCGCGTCCCATTTCACATGACATGACGTCACAAATTTGGAAAACTCTGATGCCACAATGCGGAAAGGGGACGCGATTAATCTTACTTAACAAACACTGTTTGCATATATGAGGGTATGCTAAGTCTCACTGACGGATTCGTATTTGTCAAAAAAGCTCAGGGGAAAATTGATATTTTCAAAATGGCAGCCAGTCCAAATGCATATATGGTTTCTGAGCTTATTCTTGTAGTTGGAATGAGAGAAAAATACCCTTTCATATCGAGGAGTCTAGGATAAGGAAGTTTCCCCCCCACTCAGGATTTTTTAAATTTGGCAAAATCCTTGGCAAAGCCTCAGGTTTTACCAAATTTGAAAACCCATAGGGTGGAATATCCGTTTTACACCCTATGCATGAAAGAATCTTATATACATGTACCTGCTGTTAGTCAACTCATGTGGGATCCCCCTTTAGAACCGGGGATCTGTGTATGTGCCCTCTACTTCGGAGACACATAAGTGACCAAGAAAATATGCTGCATCCCTTGTAAAGTATTGGATCCTTACATTTTCTCTCTAATTCCTGACAATCTTTTTGCTTGCTAGTTGCCTTGCATAGAAACATAAATTACTTTTGGCCTAAGTGTTGAAAGTTCACCCAAAGTGAGGAAGGCAATGGATTCTGTTCCCAGAAAGGGTCATACTAAAGTCCTTTAAAATCACACTTATTATTCCCTGCTAAAAAATTATCATTTAGGGTTATCACAACAGCTGGTTTACCCATTGTCAGTAAAATGTGACTGGGTGGAATATTGTGCTCGGTGCCTTCGACATGGAATTTAATTGAAGTCACACTATAAAGTCAGCATCAGGTCTTGGCTTTGCAAGTAAGCAAATACACTACAAAGAGGCAAATACACAAGCACGCATACATAACACTCAATGAGGCATGTCTTTAAATGACCTTAGCTGTAAAAGGACGTTAATCAATATTAAACCTAATCAAACGATAACCAAAGGAAAGTCAATGATACACATGATACTTGTGGTTTATGTTAGAGTTATCTACCTTTGTGATTTTTGTTGTTGTTGATAAGAACAATTAATTAATATTTCAGAATTACTGGAAGGGTTTGTAAATGTATGCGTGTTTGAAATATGTCATCAATAAACCATCAAAGTTAGGCACTGGGGATGTTAAAAAAAATAAACTCTAGTACACCAAATATTATGGTTTTTTATTCCATTCTTTTATTTCAAAATCAAAACATGATATTAAAGACGATTTTATGTAATATTGACTATTTCATTGAGTCAAGACGGATTTTCAAGTAAGCATACATCCTTAAGTCTCCATATCACAGAAATAACCAGGTACTATACAGCCTAAAGTCTCCATATCACAGAAATAACCAGGCACTATACAGCCTTAAGTATTCATATCACAGAAATAACCAGGTACTATACAGCCTTATGTCTCCATATCACAGAAATAACCAGGTACCATACATCCTTAAGTCTCCATATCACAGAAATAACCAGGTACTATACAACCTTAAGTCTCCATATCACAGAAATAACCAGGTACTATACAGCCTTAAGTCTCCTTATCACAGAAATAACCAGGTACTATACAGCCTTAAGTCTCCATATTACAGAAATAACCAGGTACTATACATCCTTAAGTCTCCATATCACAGAAATAACCAGGAACTATACAACCTTATGTCTCCATATCACAGAAATAACCAGGTACTATACAACCTTAAGTCTCCATATCACAGAAATAACCAGGTACTATACAGCCTTAAGTCTCCTTATCACAGAAATAACCAGGTACTATACATCCTTAAGTTCCCATATCACAGAAATAACCAGGTACTATACAGCCTTAAGTTTCCGGTACCATACAACCTTAAGTTTCCATATAACAATAAGGTACCATACATCCTTAAGTTTCCATATCACAATAAGGTACCAAACATCCTTAAGTTTACATATCACAGAAATAACCAGGTACCATACATCCTTAAATTTCCATATCACAATAAGGTACCATACATCCTTAGGTTTACCTATCACAATAAGGTACCATACATCCTTAAGTTTACATATCACAATAAGGTACCAAACATCCTTAAGTTTCCATATCACAGTACCATACATCCTTAAATTTCCATATCACAGTATGATACATCCTTAAGTACCATACATCCTTAAGTTTCCATATCACAATAAGGTACCATGCATCCTTAAGGTTCCATATCACTATAAGGTGCCATACATCCTTAATTTTCCATATCACTTTAAGGTGCCATACATCCTTAAGTTTCCATATCACAGTATCATACATCCTTAAGTACCATACATCCTTAAGTTTCCATATCACAATAAGGTACCAAACATCCTTAAGTTTCCATATCACTTTAAGGTGCCATACATCCTTAAGTTTCCATATCACAGTATCAAACATCCTTAATTTTCCATATCACAATAAGGTACCATACATCCTTGAGTACCATACATCCTTTAGTTTCCATATCACAATAAGGTGCCATACATCCTTAAGTTTCCATATCACAATAAGGTACCAAACATCCTTAAGTTTCCATATCACAATAAGGTGCCATACATCCTTAAGTTTCCATATCACAGTATCAAACATCCTTAAGTTTCCATATCACAGTATCAAACATCCTTAAGTTTCCATATCACAGTATCAAACATCCTTAAGTTTCCATATCACTTTAAGGTGCCATACATCCTTAAGTTTCCATATCACTTTAAGGTGCCATACATCCTTAAGTTTTCATATCACAGTATCATACATCCTTAAGTTTCCATATCACAGTATCAAACATCCTTAAGTTTCCATATCACAGTATCAAACATTCTTAAGTTTCCATATCACAGTATCAAACATCCTTAATTTTCCATATCACAATAAGGTACCATGCATCCTTAAGGTTCCATATCACAATAAGGTGCCATACATCCTTGAGTACCATACATCCTTAAGTTTCCATATCACTATAAGGTGCCATACATCCTTATGTTTCCATAGCACTATAAGGTGCCATACATCCTTACGTTTCCATATCACTATAAGGTGCCATACATCCTTATGTTTCCATATCACTATAAGGTGCCATACATCCTTAAGTTTCTATATCACAGTACCATACATCCTTGAGTACCATACATCCTTAAGTTTCCATATCACTATAAGGTGCCATACATCCTTATGTTTCCATATCACTATAAGGTGCCATACATCCTTAAGTTTCCATATCACAGTACCATACATCCTTGAGTACCATACATCCTTAAGTTTCCATATCACTTTAAGGTGCCATACATCCTTACGTTTCCATATCACAGTACCATACATCCTTAAGTTTCCATATCACAGTATCATACATCCTAAAGTTTACATATCACAATAAGGTACCATACATCCTTAAGTTTCCATATAACAATAAGGCCAAACAATAAAACATACTTGTTTCCTGTTACATGTCTGAAAAAATTGGGATAGGTAGGTAAAAAGGTGCTAAATTTTATTTCATTTTGTTTTAATATAAGATGTACATTACAGGAGAGTAAACTAGACTTTTACAGTCCTTTCGTGATAATTGCCAAAATAAGTTTAGGGTAGGCACACAAAATACGGGTAGGTAGTGTACCCAGAAACAAACAACTTTTTTTATTTGGCCTATATATAGGTTCAGTATGCTATACACATACCATATCACAGTAAGATGTTAAAATCCTTAAGTTTTCATATTAAAACAAGGTACTATACAACCTTAAGTATCTGTGTCAAAATTCGGAAGCATGCATCCTTTTAAAAACATGCTGGGCTTAATAATGAGCGTGGGCTAAACATCTGTGAAACATGACATAAAATATGATATAATGTTTACATTTAAAGTGCAATAAAAAATAAATGTTATTTTACAACTGGGTTTGTGACCTCTTTGCAGTTCAGAGGGGGAAAAGTTGTTTCAGCTGTTAAGACAAATCTACTCTGTATCATGTCTATATACTGCTGAAGCTGGACAAATCTACTCTGTATCATGTCTATATACTGCTGAAGCTGGACAAATCTACTCTGTATCATGTCTATATACTGCTGAAGCTGGACA